TCAAACTTCAGCTCCTTGGTTTCCTAGATAGGTGACTATTAGCTAGTTGTTTTCTTAAGGAATTTATTTTGGGTTTGTCATCTAAAACACGGGAATAGAAGCTGCTTTATGCAGTTGTGAGAATTAAACGGCATAATCTTGGAGATGACCTAGGACTTCTACGAATGGCAGCTATCATCGGTAAGCGCTGCATGCAAGCCGTGTACGAAACTTAACGCGTCGTCCTAGGGACAACATTCAGGTGCCAGTTTTGAATGTATGTGGGGGAAGGGTAGTAAAAATCGACAGGTTTTTTTTCCCCCTAAAACATTAAGGATGAAATTAGACCAAGTTACTTGGTGCTTATGTGGAAATGTTTTGATAAAATACCGGTCTTTTTCTGAGAGCAAACGAGTAGGAGCTGTTAGATGAGAACCGGGAAGTGATTCTCTCCCAAGGGCTCGTTTACTCAGATGACAGGAGCCACTGGCATGATGGGAGCTGCAGGGGGAATGGCATGAGACTAGAACCGTGACAAAAGCTACTTGTCCCCAGAGTGTTCTGATTTGTAACACTCTCATTATTGGTTTCATTTTTTTTAAACTTCCTTTTTCAAAATTTATGTTATTGATGATTAATTTTAACAGAGCATTAATATTAATATTTTCTGAGAATTCATTAACTCCTTTGAAATAACTGGAAACACCACAGGACATAATATCTCTATTGGAACTACCCAGAGCATAAAACATGGTGTTTAATAAAAATGTCACGTTGAACAAATATATTTATCAATATCCAATCTGTTTAGGCTATTAACTCCTAAGGTCTCGCTACTAATTATGTTAAAATAACCTGCTGTGAGTGTTGGGGAGAGGACACTGGAGGGGTTAGAGTCTAACACACCGAGTTTTTGCTTCCTTGGATCTTGTTTAGAGCTCATCACAAATTAATAAAGGACATGCATTTTATGGTTTCAAACTAAAAATTCCATTTGAGTTTTTAACAAAGATACTGTTGAAAGTCTTGCAAATTATAGCTCAGTTCCCAAAAACACTGATGAAGATGAACACAGCTGAGAAATAAGCCGGTTGACAGGTCTAAAACGAACAAGAGGTCACAGAAGCAGACAGCTACTTTGAATCCAATGCTGTTTTTCTTCTTAAGCCTAAACTCTACACGTGTATTTTAGAGCCAGTAAATTTAGAATCTAATTTTTCCACCTAGAACTTTGTGTTCGATGTTTATCATTCTGTTTACTTGTGTAACAGAAAATGAAACTGCCAGTGTGTTAACATTGATACAACAGCGCCACCTGGTGAATACGCTGTGTATGCGAAAATGTTAACCAGAATTTGCCATTTTATAGTGCATTTTCAGTCTATCTATACCCCCAAACTTTTATTATATATATATATTTACAAAATATAAACGTCTTATATACTGAAACACTAATTTAAATATTTAAAAGCATTATACGTTTATGCATTCATAATTAAGTACAAATAAGATGCCCAAAGGATGTTCCAACACTTGTGAATAAAGGGTTTTGCATAGTAGATGTTACCTGAAATGCCGGCAAACGGTGTTAGCTGACAGGTGAGAGTTTCCTCTCGTATGAAATGTCAACGGGTACAAAACTCTTGCTTTAGATAGGTTTTGTCTCAACCTCACAAAACAGTTTCAGAGTTCTGCCTGATGTCCTTAAAATGCGTGTTCATCAAGTCTACGGCCACGCCACCCTGAACAGCCCCATCTCATCTGATCTCGGAAGCTAAGCAGGGTCGGCCCAGTTAGTACTTGGACGGGAGACCACCTGGGAAGCCCAGGTGATGTATGGGGGGAGGGAGTGTTTTCATTAGTCCACTGAGGCCTGCTGTTCACGGTTAGTTAATAATAAGTATTATCGAATTCATGATTTAAGTGGACTGAATAACGGCATCCAACGACTACAAACCCGCGTTTAAAGTCCACCAGCGATGTGATGTGGACACACGCTGCCGTCACCCCAGACCGCATTCGCACCCCACTCTGCACCCGTCGGACGACACGGACGGAATCACTTTTTTGTCATCTTTAGCATGGGAAACAAGCGCACGGGGCGACAACCTAGAGAGCTGAGGTCTGCACAGCGATCGCTCCCGCCCCGACGCGCGCCGGGATCTGGGGAGCTGGGCGGCGGCCGCGCTGTCCCGGGCCTCGTGCCCAGACCCCCTCGCCCCACTTCCTGCGGAGTCCAGGTGCGACCCGACGCCGACTCCGCCACGAAGGTTCCACCCCGAGCCGGCGCCTCGCGCGCAGCTTGAGTCTTTTGAGCCCACCGAGCCGCCGGCGCGGCCGTTACCGGAAGTGGGCGGAGGGGCGGGGCTCCGGGGCGCGGCGCGGCGCGTTTAAACCGACAACGGTCGCGGCTGTTTGTGTCCGGCTCTGGCCGCGCGGCTCGGCGGACTCGGCGGGC